CCGCCCGCCCGGGGGCCCCCCGCCGGGGCCAGGCAGTGAACCCCCCGGAGGTCCCAGCCGATGCACCAGCCTGCTGGGAGCTGAGAACTGGCAAATTCGTGAAACTCATGCAAACCAGGAGTTTTGGCAGGGGTTGTACTGAGGTTGCCCAATGTCTCCTGGAGGGACTCCAGCACCCTGGGGACCACCCATGCCCCTTCCCCTCGCGGATGGCGGGGATGAGGTGCTGCTCCCCCTCCGCACTGCGTTAAATAAAACCCCCGGCTGGAGACAGCAGCCGTGGATAATATTTCTTGCAGACAGATAATCCTCTGCAGCACCCCCTGCAAACTGCTTCTTCAGATAAGCCAGGCAGCCGTCTGTCCAGGCTGGGGGGAGATTTCAGGGGCTGGGATGGGAGATGAAGGGGGCGAATCAGCACCTGACCAACACTGGAGCGCATCCCGCGGGAGCATCCCCGCTGCCCGTGGCCCTGCCGTGTCCCAGAGTGCGAACTCGAGGCCTGGACCCCAGGGAGGAAACCCAGCGCCGGGGCCCGTGGAGCTGAGTGGGGTGCACAGGGGCACATTGCAAATTGCCCCGCCTGCCCCGACGCCCCGCCTGCCCCGACCGCCCCGTGCCGGGCACCCCGTGTCCTCCCAGCTTGCTGCAGCTTGCCCATCTGCTGGGACAGCCTAAGCCAGCTCCAAGCGGATCAGCGCAAGGCAGGGGCCGCAGGAGCCGGCCTTACACCCGCACTGGCCTCCCCGCTCGCCTCCACCCGTTGCAAAATCCTGCTCGGCCTTGCGACAAACTCCAGGGGCTGGATCCAGCAAGGGCTGGATCAGAGCAAAGCGGCCACCAGCTCCACCGCCCCCTGTCCCATCCCCTCCCCACCACTGCCCATCACAGGCCCCTGCTCTGCCCCAGATGCGGGTGCAATTCAGCGACGCCTTGCAGCCTCCTTTGCAAGACCCTCGGAGGCTGAGGGCTTAAACGCAGCCTGGCAGGACGTCGCTGGGACACCCACCGTGAGGCATCTGGCGGGACACGCCTGCATGCGGCTCCCCAGGCCGCTCCAGCTGCTGGCAGAGCTGAAGGTTGGGAGGTTCAATTCCCTGAGCCCTCTGCCCCTGCACCCTGAAATGTCCAGACAGGGCGATCTCCCTGCCCCGGGGTGTGCCGGGGGCTCGGGGGTCCCCATCGCTGCGCGGGAGGAGAGAAGCTACCTGAGCGGACCTCTTCGTAGGTGGGGTTGGGGGTGAAGCCTCCCGCGTAGCCCACCTGGGTGGAGAAGACGCCGGGTATCTTCCAAAAGAGCCGCTCGACTCCCCAGAAGCACCCCATGCCTGCGGGGAGACGGGTGCAAGAAGAGGGCAGCCGGGCAGTCCCAGCTGGGTGCCCGTCACCGCAGTTCACGCTGGGGCCGCCTCCAGCCACCCCGAGGTCTCCCCGGAGGCAGGAGAGCGCAGGGAATGGCTCCAAGGGAGG